ACTTGAACCATTGCTGGAGAAGCACGATGTATTTAGGGCTGTGTTACCCATGCTTCAGTTCACAAACTGGTCTCTCTGCATTAATCTGGGGGCAAGAATCAGTGCTGGAGACTTTCTTTGAAAGTCATTCTCCTGTTGAACATCAAACAAGGCTATGTTTTGGTTCATTGTCTCCCTTCTGAGGATGAGTTACAGAATTTAAAAAGTATTGCCTTGTCTCATAAGCAGGACCTAAGTGATAGAACAAGAGTAGATTAAATATTATGGGGAAATTCTTTCCTGTGAGGGTGGCACAGGATTCCCAGAGAAGGTGTGGATGTCCCATCCCTGGAAACGTTCCAGACCAGGCTGGAGGGGCACCGAACAACCTGTCTTGTGGAAGGTGACCCTGACCAGCAAGGGATTGGAGTGAGATGATCTTCCAACCCAAGCCATTCTGCAATTCTATGATACTCTGTTTCAGCAAGGCAAGATATCCATGAACTGTAGCAATTATTAAAGGTGTCAACAATGCATTAAAATGTATATTTTCTTTAGATTTAAGGGAAAATATCTAGTTAATGATATTGAGCACTATTTAAAGGATGAAATCTGTTTCTGTAGGTAGTGCAGCATGAGCAAAGGCAGGTGTCCAACATCTCCAGGTAAATTGTCTCCATGCCATGCTACATCAGTGAGGTTTTCTCCATAGATGTTCATTCCAGGCTGCTCCCTGTAATGACCTCAATTATACATGTCTTCATTGTGAAATTATGATTGCCTTTGGTGGGCTGCAAATGACAGCAGAGAAAAAGGTTTCCATGATAAACCAGCACAACATGTAATACCTGCTGCATTAGTATGCAGAGCTTGTGGAGGTGCAGTGTAACTCCAGCTTAGCACCTTAAATAATACTGGAGAGGAGGAGAGGAAAATGTTCAGCAATATCTTGACACTTTTTTACAAGGAAAGGAGTTACTAAGACTTTGAATTCTTGCATGCCACCGTGGGACCTGGTATTGCAATAAATTTAATGTAAGAGCATCAAGATGGTGACAGCTGGGTCACCAAAGGTGCTCAGTTGCTTCAGGCTGAATATCATAGCAGGCAGGGAAGGTGGGGGAGGATGGACAAGAGTGGTCCCTTCCCTGAATAATCCCTTGGCACTAACCCCCAGCATGCAGGGAGGGATACCTTACTGTCCTGAATAAGGCAGATGGGTCTGGAGATGGCACTGCTCTAATTCCTGAACCTCAAGATGTTCAGGCACTGAGCTGCTGCCATCATCAATGGAGAGTTTGTGGTGTCCTGGTTGCCTTTCACTGACCTTGATTTTGTTCCACATTTGGTGTCTTTCATCTGCGTGATCAGGGATTAGTCCTGGTCCTCTGATGCACAAGCACATGCTTACACCAATTCCTTTTTAAAGGGGATCATTACAAAGGCTTTACCCCTGTCTGGAACCATTAAAAATTGAGTGAAGAATGATAGCATCCCATTCTCTGATGATAGTATCTCTCTCTGATGGCAGAATAGTTGGCAGGAACTTATTTCCAGCTGGAATAAGCTACTTCAACTGAAATCCCAGAGAAGAGTATCAGGTTTGACTCAGCTTGGTAACTATGGTCAGCAAGATACTGGTTGAACCTATGGAATGTAGAAAAATGGTTTGCATGCCTCATCCTGCAGGATTTCCAAATGAACATAACATTGTTTGATTTTAGAACCAAATTCCATTCCAGCTTGTGTTCTGCAAATGAGCACCCTTTGAATATTGCCTATTTGTTCTGTTCAGTTTTATACCCATGGTAAAAATCCTTTTATCTCCTAAAGGTTTTTTAAAATAAAATGAACAGTGTTCAATACTTAATCTAGAAGCTTTACACAAAATCATTATGGTGACTTGAATAATTTTTGCACATAAACCAACAGCAGCAGTGTCTAAGCTCTATAACTTAATACAATATTGAGTCTTTTAAAAGAGTTTTAAAATGCTCAGCCCTCGCATCATCTTAGGGAACCCTGTTTCCTCCCCAATACACCTGCTTGTATAAGGAAATCTTTTTCTATTGAAAACAAAAAAGCAATAACTGAAACCACAAAAAATAATTCTGTATTAGTAGAAAGGCTTTTAGATGTTAATTAGAGTCCCTCAAATGTACTGGTAATAAGATGCTGTCAAATATACTCCATAGAAATACTCTAAAAAGGAGTGTGTTTGTATTGTTTAAGTGGTCTGTGCTAATTACATGCTTTAACATAAAAAACTCATCTCTTGGCCTCATATGGTTCATCCAAGAATGGCAACTGTGCAAGGTGTCTTCTTAATTAAACCTTAATGTATTTTTCATTACTGTGCTTCTAAAAAGCAAAAGCCAAAGCCTCTTTAGCAATTGTTTGTGAGATGGGCAGGAAGCCTTAAATTCCACTGCAAGAGAGCACTGAAAAAACATTGCTGAAGAAGGAGCTTATGGAAGCCAAGCATGAGCCAGGGAACTCAAGGCACCATGAAAAACAGCAGAGGGAATTAAGGAAAACAGCAGTAAGATGAAAAAACAATTCTCTTGTAAATGAATGGCCCTCTATTTCATTTCTCTTCAAGAGGAGATGTCCTCATTAGCCTTACTGCATGCTACAAATTATTGTAATTATCAGTTCTTTATCCTGTCAAGTGCACTCCAAATATTTTATTCATTAAAAGAAGCTCTTCATTATGTAGAAAATAACTACATTATTAGCCCCTATGTGCTGTTTACATGCTTCAGGCAGCTGGATGAGGGTGGTGGGATGGACTCTCCATCCCTGGAAGTGTTCAAGGCCAGGTTGGATGGGGCTTGGAGCAGCCTGGTCGAGGGAAAGATGTCCCTGCCCATGTCAGAGGTTGTAAAGATGATCATTAATGTCCCATCCAGCCCAAACCATTCAGGGGTTCCCTGGAGCATCTCTATTCCTATGGCCCACTGACCCTGAGTTGCCACATCCCTGATTTCTTCCAACAGATGAAGGCAGTGTGAGTCATGTGTCATGTCTTCCCAGCTTAATTGCTAACCTGCTCAGTCATCTTGAATAGATATTGTTCCCTTCCCAATATTCCTTCATCTTCCCTTTTGATTTTTAAGGTTTGATGGTCAGACTGTGTCAGTCTTCTCATGTAATGCCTCTGGGAGCCACCATAACACAAATAGTAGCACCACATTGCTCAAACATTCCTTATTTTGATCAACCATCTATCAAAACTATTTACCTCTTATTTAGAACAGCTTGTACTCTTCCTGAAATAGCACTGGGAATTTTAAGTAGAAGTGCTCACTGCTGGCAGACACACCAATGCTGTATGGACCCTGCAGGCCAAAGTCAGCCTCAGATCCTCAGTGGTGAGCACTTTGTGACACATTAGCTTCTCACTTTGGTGAAAGAAGCAGAAGAAAGGGGCTGCTGAGCTGCTGGAGCATGTTTTCACAAGCAGGTTTTGCACTAATTCTTCACAATCAGTTGCTATACCAGGGCACTGAGTCTGTCCAGGCTGCCCAAGGCTGCTGAAATACACTGAATATTTTAGTGACAGATTTAAGAGGTTTGCTACTCAAGAGATGTTAAAGCAGTTTTTCAATTAGATAATACGTGAAAAGGTGGAAAATTGTGCTTGCAAATGTCAGTACTGGGTGGGTTTTTTTTTTCATTTTTATTCCATGCAAGTGATATTCAGATCTTGTGTGGGATGTAATGACAGAGTTGTGAGGTAAGTGGACAGGATGAAGAGTAACTTTACCAGTTGATGGGAGGGGTAACCTGACCCCTGTATGTCATTTTACAGTGTCAGCACTGCTTGAAGTGGTTTTTTTTCCCAAAGCACATGGCCTCGGAGGAGGCAGCATCACTCTCTTTCATGTATGTTTTACCGCTGTTGTTGCCAGTGGACATGGGGAAGGAGGAGCCTTGGTGCTGGGAGAGGTTGTTTCATTCCCCAGCCCAGGTTTTGAGTTGGCTGAAGCAAAGTAACACCAGCTGTGAACATTCCCTGTTCCTCTCAGTGGGCCTTGAAAGACCAGTTTTCATCTTTTACATTCAATACAGTTTTCCTATTGCAGAGCTTGGGAACGAGAGGAAGCAAAAGCCATCATGTGAATTACAAAGCTGTGGCTGCAGGAGCTTGCACAATGTGGCCTGTCTGCCCAGTCACTGTCTCACTGCTGCCAAAATGCTGCATAATGGCAATCTGCACCCAGGGTAGTTCTGATATCAGGTCTGACCTTTCTGTGTGACCACACATGGCAAAAGACACAGCCACATCCCATGCCAGTGGCCAGAAGGAAACAATGTGACGTAGTGTGGTTTCAGAGAGCTGGTGGTGAGGTTTTCAGTGAGGTCTGCTGCCTCAGGAGTTCCTTTTGTGTAGCACACATAAGTCAAAATAACTGGGGTTTTTCTTTAAATAAAATATTAGAAAGCTTTTATATTTTAGGACGTCTGTATCTCAGGTGCCATGTGTGGCTGTGTTTGGTAAACAAGTTTTCAAGCTTGGCGACTTCCAGTGTTTGAGCAATTTGAAACTAGGTTTAGTTTATCTATATTTCAGTGGCAGCAGTCTGACCTTAATTCTTCCTCAAGGAACAAACATGACTCATTCTTGTACCTTTTGAAAAGACTTTGAGAGGAGTGTTGTAGAGAAACAAGCCCAGATGATCTCAAGCTGGAGAGCCTTTGCTTGTCCTCCTGTTGCTGACTGCTTCGTGTAAACTGCTGCAGCCAGGCTGGCCAGCTGACCAGCTTAGTGCCCTCATGCCACAGCTAAGATGATTCAGGAAAGGGGTGCAGGGAGTTTGGTTGAGACAGATTCAGTTTGTCTCTTACTTGGCTTTATTGTTGATTGGGGTTTTTTTGTATAGCATAGGTGCCCCCATCTCCTTGCCAAAATCCTCCGAAGTCATACCCAGAATGAGAACAGAAGTCCGAGAGGGGAGAAGAAGAGCAGCTTCCCTGTGTGGTATTTGATGTTGTCCCCGTTCTTTGGCCTTTTGCAGAGGTGGTTCGGCTGAGCCTGCCGGAGGAGCAGAGGGTCACTGTGACCACCATCACCGTTGGCCTCAGCGCCGTGCTGACCTGCAGCATCCGCGGGCCGCTGCGGCCTCCCATCGTCTGGAAACGCAATGGCGTCGTCCTCAACTTCCTCGACCTGGAGGACATCAACGTACGTGCTGAGCCTCTCCTGTCCTTGTCTGTCAGCACCCTGAGCATCGCCTTGTTTAGCAGGTGGTGGTTATAAGGGTGTGACTTTTATCCTATTATTATGGAAAGCAGAATGGTGCAATGTTTAGGTTTTACGTGAATATGTCTCAGGAGTAAAAGCAAAGCAGGGTATGTGCAGGGGAGAGCAGGAGTACTTGGAATAAGTTACATGAAATTATGCTTATTTCGTTGGTGCTTCTTTCATTGTTCTGGACCTGTGCTCCAGAGACCTCAAAACAGACCACTCACTCCTCAGAGGTGTCTTTCCCAGTGCAGTGAAACAGATTCATCAAGAAGATGAAACAAAACATTTGTGGTGGCTATGGATCTCTCCTCCTTTTAAACCAAATAATCCGTTTTTATCTCTGATCCTCCTGTTTCACTTGCCTTTCAGTCAGCTCTCCTCTCTCATTCTTTGGCTGTTATTTCTGATGGGCAGTTTAAAAATGGGATTATTCAGCAGGGTGTGGCGTTGCCCTTGCAGGAAGGAAGATGAATCTCTTTTAATTCACAGTGCTGGTCTGATCTCTGAGTCATAGTTGGTAGTAAAGACAATACCTGAATGATGGTATAAACTTACTCATTTATTTAATAACATTTAATTACAGAGAGAGTGGAAAGTAGTGTACAAAAAATATGGTCTGTATTTCATTTCTCTTTTCATTAAAGTATATGGTAAATCAGGTTTTATTTTAATTACACTGCAGCAAGAGTTGATTTATATTTTTGTTCAGTTCTTGTTAATTTGATAACCACTCAGTCCAGAGTTGTTACAGTCAATACTACAGCTCCCCAAATTGTTGTGTATCCAGGATTGCTGAAATGGGAAAACTCTTTGGTTTATTCTTCTGCAGTAAAATGTGAAAATTACAGCACGTGGGACGGAAATACACACAGAATCTCAGTACTTTATTTGTTGACTCTTCCTTAGCAGAAAATCATGTGCACCATGTATTGGTAATTACTGTGTTCACAAACTTAGTAATTAAAACCATCTAAACATTTTTTTCATCACAGCAAGTATTATCTTTTTAAAATGTTTTGTATTTCTTGTCAGTGCTTCAAGCTTGATGTGGAAATACAGCAGAGCCTCTGAGGGCTAAAGGATTTGTTGGCCAAAAATAATGACAATTTCATGTATTTAGCTAACATTTTTGAAATTTTGGTTATGATGGCATTAATCTCAAAGAATTAAAGCTCCTGTGTGAACTGGACACGAAATGACAGTCCACGAACCTGAGAAGGAACACATTATTGAAGGACTGATGGCACTTGGCTCTGAGGGTTCATTTGCAACTCCTGCTATTGTAAACAGAATGTTGAATACGGTTTCAGACTGAAATGCCAGTTCCTCACATAATTTAGCAAAGGCCCAAGTGGATTTCTGATTTGCTTATAAGTAATTCTGTTTCTCATTGGTAATTCTGTGTTAAGAGGCAAAGTTATGTCCTTGCACATGAGCTGGCTGGTTCCTGAATGATTCAACACTCCCATGGAGTGTAATACAGCAAGAAAAACGTCACTTTTTGATCTGTTTCAGCTAGTATATCACTGAGAAACTATATCAGAAGAGCACTCTGAGATTGTTACAAGGAGAAAAAACAAGATTTGTGCCTCAATTTTGATGTGTCACATATCAGTTTATGACCTCTGTCACCTTGTCATGTAACAGCTGCTACTAGTGAACATCAACTTTGCTAGTCTAATGAACACCTCCACAACTTTTTCATCATTAATTATGCTGTGTAATTATTTTATATTCTGTATATACACTGCCATCTGTATCCTGGTCAGATTGCTTGAGGAGGCACAATTTGGGGATTGCCATTTTTTATTTTCCCTCTTCCACAGTGGGTGTTACGTAGGATGCTTGAGCTCAGGCATGTCTCCTCTCTGGCTGCTGAGGATGGGCACCTGCATGTCTGAAGCACTTGGTGGCAGCAGGGATGGTCCTTCAGCTGCTGAATGCAGCCTTTTATTTGTCATAGAACCACAGAATGATTTGGGTTAGAGGGATTTGAAAGCTCATCTCATTCCAACCCCCCTGCCATGGGCAGGGACAGCTTCCTCTAGACCAGGTTACAAAATCTTCATCCAGCCTGTCCTTGGACACTTCCAGGAATGGGGCATCTACAGCTTTTGTAGGAAACATGTGTCAGTGCCTCACCACCCTCCCAGGGAGGATTTTTTTCCTAATACCTAATCTAATCCTACTCTTTTTTGATCCATTCCCCATTCTCCTGTCACTACATGCCCTTGTTTAAAAGTCCCTCTCTACCTTTCTTGTAGGTTCCCTTCAGGTACTGGAAGGACACAATTAGGTCACCCTTAATCCTTCTATTTTCCAGGCTGAAGAATCCCAATACTCTCTCCCTTTCCTTATAGCAGAGGTGCTCCATCCTTCTATTTATCTTGGTCTTTTCTTAAACACCTAACAGCTCAGGTCAGGGGGTGGCAGCAGACAGTTCAAAGCTTCAGCCTTACGCGGGTACGCAAACTCATATTAAACAATAATCTATTTAAAGGCACTGACAGCAGAAAGTAAAGGCAGTGTGCTTCTTAATGTACTTGAAGGTAGTTAATTAAATTACTCCAGTTTTCCTTTAGTACGCCTCAAGCAGAAACTCAATTGCATTTCTGCTTTTCACAATAAGGTTGGCAATTTGGCTAATTGGAAGTGCAACAGGAGATTAATTGTACCTTTTTAACTTCAAGAAAATCCTCCCTGCTCTTGGCACATTGATAATCACATACAGACCTACAGGATAGTCACACACTTGGAAAAGTCCTGGTATTATATTTCAATTAAACTCTTTCTCTTCTAAATGCTAATTCAAGAAATCAGATGAAATGAGAAACTCAAGTCTGAAAAAACAGAATCCTGCCAACCAGGTGTGAGAGCAGCAGAGGAAAGGCTGAATTGCTGAAGTGTCCTTTGTTGCTTTGTCTCCAGATTCATGGCAAATGTGATCTGAGAAGGTGACCTGTGTTCCAGGGTAATACTGGGAGGGACAAAGACAGTCAACAAAAACCTAGATAAGCCTAAATTTGTGCAGAACTGAAAGATTGGAGATTGCTATAAAGCCTAGTTGTTTAACTGCATTAGTTAAATCACTTTTATGTGATATCTTGATTGGCAACAAAATATTCATAATTTTTCATTGCTCTCTTAATCAAAAGCTTTCATAAGCAGCTAGTAATAGTTTGTCATGTCCTGTCTAAGGGAGCTCTGTTAATGAGTTGTCACATAACTATTGCAAAAGAGCCATCCTAATGGTACATGTAATTAAACAGTTTCTCTAGCAAACATTTAAGATTGCTTTTAGCATAAAAATATTATTTCTCCATAAATTACCCATCCATATTATTTCTCCATTAGAAGTCCCTTTGCAGTTCCACTTTAATAAAGCCACATCAACTTTTCTCATGCAGAAAATAACTATAATGCAGCTGGAATTGATAAATTTGTTATAGCTATAAATTGATTTCTGACTACAAAAGTGAAGTGGTTATAATGTGTCGTCATTCAAAATAATATACTTTTGCCTCCTAGGAACAAACGATATGTTTTCTCAGGTATGTGATTATGAAAACATTCTTCAATTTGAAAATAAAATAAACTCCTCATGGAGTCAAATGCATGTAGTATTTATAGGGTATTGTTTCACACGATTTGACATTATCTCCAGAGAAACGTGTAAATTGATAAAATTTATAAGTTGCTCCTTCAGAAGCATGGTGAAAGAGAAGATTACCATAAGAAAACAAATATGGTGTAGAGGTAGATAAGAATTTGGTGAATTACCAAGCGTAATGCAGGTAGCTATAGCCTAAACTCATTAGTGTCATTCATTACTCATTTCATTTTAATCTGTACACTTTAACTCACACTGGTGTTGGATCATTAGTGTAAAAAATAGAATTTATATAATCAATTGTGTAAATACAGAGTACTTAATTTCTGCTGATGTCAGGTGGGATGGCACAGCCTTGCTCTCTCCAAACATCCCACCCAGGCACAGAGCTCCAGACCACAGCCTTGACTGCTGGATTTCCCCATCCCCTGGGAAATCACCTCCTTGTGCATCTCATGGCCCTTACAAGAGCTGTGACCCTGTCTTGAGACACATTTCATGTATGCTCATGAAAATGTCCCTTTTCCATGTATTACATTTGAAACCCAAAGCAAACAGCCAGCCTTTAAGGTGCAAGTCACTGGGATTAGTTTTCTTGTTAAAATAGTCTGTGTGAAGACAATGTATTCATGTTGATGTTTTTAATGTAGATTCACTGTTAAATAATAAAAAGCTCATGTGTGAATGACCCCATTAATTCCCTTCTAATAGAATTTGGGCCATTAAAATGATCAAACCCTGGGCCATCCTAGATACTGCAGTGATGCAGTGATGGGAGCAAGTTCCAAAAAGTTGGATATTTAGAACCAAGTTTTTTCTCTTTCAAATCAAAGTTATGAAATTGGTTATAGCTTCTTAATGTATTTACAGGCTCTAAAGTAGAGGTTAAGTGCAAAATTACTACTGACAGTATATTCTGAATATACAGTCTCACATTTTGTCATAATGAAGATTACAGAAATTGTATCCACTTGCATTTTTAGAGGAATGTACCTACTATTCATTTTCCTTGTCATGTTATCTCTGAGTGTCTCAGGATGTAAAACTCACCCATTTTTTTGTTATAATTACACAACTATCTAAAAAGTTCATGTCCATATTTTCAAGGCAAAAAATTTTTTGACTCAGCAGCATGTTGTGTTAAATTCTTTGAGCAGAAAAACGAGAAAAGATAAATTAATGCCCCATCAGGCTGTGTTTGCAATAGTATTCTAGCATTTGCTTAAGGCTGAATTTCTCTCCATGTAAATTACTAAAGTGATGTGTAAAACCAAGAACAAATAATATTAATGAAGCATAAGTTTTCAGCTTGTCTCTAGAAATGAAT